CAAAGAAGGCCATGCAAGGTGCCGGATACTGCCGCCTTGAGGATGGAGAGGAAGGGAGAATGCTGGAGTATGGGGCATGGAAAGTGGGACTGTCCCCACCTGCAGGAACTGCTCAACCCCAGGCTGAGCTCTGAGGCCCCAGCCCTAGGCAGCAACTGTCTAGCCCCACCACAGCCTGGGCCCCAGCCCTGTGTCACAGCCATCGTGGGCTCCCTCATCCTCCTCAGCCACCAATGCCCCACCTCAGGGGCTATGTCTCCAGTGGCTTCCCTCTGTCTTCCCCCTTCCAGGTGTACCCTGGACCCACCTGGAGGAACAGCCACCTGGAGCCAACTCAGACCCCGGGGAGCATGGGCTCAATGCTCCCCCTGCCAGTTCTTTCTAGTGGGTGCCTCCTACTACAGGTGAAGCCATCAGGGGGCTGCCCTGGGAATGATGCCTGGGACACGTGTTGTCCAGGGGCACTGTTTCCCCTGCTGGGTGCACTCTTTCTCACTCATGTCTCCTCCTTGGCTTCTGTGAGCTAATCAGGGAGAAGGAGGGGGAGGAGGGGGATGCTGCTCGCCTTCCCCGTTATCTGCAGCAATCCACGGTGACTAATGCTCCCAGTTGGTAAAAAGGCAGTGTAATCAAAACACTTTTTTTTTTAGTCCTTAAAGTTAGTCATTCTCCCAGAGTGGAGGAAAAAAAAAAGCCCACAGCAGGCACCATGAAATGCAAGCTGAGAGGCTCACGCTGCGGGTGGAACTAAAGCATTGGCCATGGGAGCTCCCTGTGGGTCTGAGGCTCGGGCTTTCTTCCTCCTGGCCCTTGGATAGCCTTCCTGCACACCCTCCTTTGTCCTTGCTTTCCTCGACATCTGGGCTGTCTGATCCCTGAAGGACTTCCCTGCCAAGTCAGGATCTGCCCTCTGCTCTCACTCACCCTGCCAGGTGCTGCCACCTGCTGGTCCTCAGCTTGCCAAGCTGGAGGAAGCATATAAAAGCGCCCAGGATGAGGCCGAGCGCCAGTCCCTTGTTAGGTGCCTGGTCTCCTGCGAGCCTGCCCTCCAGCCCCAACCCCACCATTCCATTTGTGTTTCTCCTATCTGCAGGCGTCTGCTGCTCCCTCCCACTTGGCCTTGACAGAACTATAGGTTGTCAGAAGTGGTAGGAACTTGAGGAATCACCAGTGACAGGTGATGTACCACCGTGGGGAAGAGCATAAGGCTCAGGGCCAGGTTGCTTGGGTCAGAATTCCATTTCCCTACTTACTAGCTGTGCTCTGTGTTGATCACAGTAATAGTACCTACTTCACAGGGTTGTTGTAAACAACTAAAACAGAACCACTCACTCACATCGTGAGAGCTCAATTATTAGCTCATAATGAAAACAGTAACAACAACAAAATAATAAAGTGGAATGAACCTTCTTAGTCACCCAAAGCAGACATTGCTAATCAATCACAGAAATTCCCCTCCAATGGCAGACTCCCCAGAAGTCTCAGTATGGCACTCCAGGCAGCCGGTAACCAGCAATTGGAGCTGGCAAGTGGGATGGCACCCATTTGCCATCCCAGATCTAACCTGGACTCTTTATATTACAGTCAAGAAAGATGAGATGCCCCCCAAGGGGGGAAGAGACTCCCTCAAGCTACGTGGAGACAGAGCCAGGGTCCAGACAGTTATTCCTGGTCCTGACTGCTTAGCTAGCGCAGCCTTTGACTTGCCACTCTACCATGACCTTTGAGCCACTGAGGTGTGCTTCCCACCACTGGAAACTCTTACCCTCATAGCTTCCATCTTCCTCCACCCTTGCTCCTCTGCCATGTCCTTGGCCCATGGCTGCCCAAGGAACTCTTGTTCTGAGGCATCTCGCTGAGCAGATACAGAGCCAAGTGGGTAGTGAAGACATATAGAAACCTGAGGGTCTCAGTCATTAATTTATGCTGCAGGAGCCTCCTGGGCACCAAAGACTTTGGGGCTGCAAGGGGGCTCAGCCCACCAATTTAGCCCCTTACCAGTCAGCCCCTTGAATCTCAGCCCTTATGTTGTGATGAAACCCCTAATGGCCCGGCTCCAGTTCTGGAATCCTTGCTCTTAGCTAATTAGAGGCTGGCGTGGTGAGATAATCAAAGAGTCAGGCCTAGACCTCTGTGTGCGGAGGGCATATACGACAAGCCCAGAGAGGAGGGTCAGTGGGGGCGGGGGGGAGGGGGGTGATGCTTACCAATTTCTGAATGAAATGCTCCAAGAAGGAAGGGGTGTGGTGGCACAGCTGGTTCTCTGGCTGCTTTCCCTCTGGTGCACAACTTTGTCTGCCCAGGCAGATCTTTGCCACCTGAATACTCTTTGAACTTCAGGCTCAGACTCTGGGGGAGGAAGCCGTGTTCACCAGGCTTGCAGCCAGAAGCATCCACTTCTACCCAAGATCCTCCACTCTCAGCTTCCACAAAGACACTGAATTTGCTCCTTTTCCACCCCTCCCCTGAAGGGGCAGGATCAGCCTGTGTGGTGCTGCTCTTTGGTTCTGAAGAAGGACATAGCTCCCACCCCTGGGTCTGGAGACCCTGCAGCTGAGTTTTCTAGGGCAGTGGGAGGTGTTTGTGCTTCCTGCTGTTCAGCTGCCCAGGGATCAATGCCACATGGCAAGTCATGCTCATGGAGGGAAGCTTGTGGGTCCACAGGGCAGCAGGGGACCTGGCCATCCATCCTCAGCCTGGCACACCTCATTCAGGCTGAGCAAATGAGCCACAGATGAGAACTCAGAGCAGGGGCACTTTCCTGACAGACTCCTAGGAGGCCAGCATCCTTTCCAGTACCCTCCGAGGTCCTGCAGGCCACATTGAATAGCAGGGATTGGAGGTAAGCAACCCTAGCTTGGCCGCAAGCTGAATCCTTCCCTTCCAGAAGATTCGTGTTTGGCTTCCTCCCAAGATGTCACTGATTCCTCAGAGCTGCTCACTTCTCTCAGCTTGCTTCTCTGTGCAGGCCCCACCCCACAGGCTTTCCCCATTTTCCTATTTCCTGAGGGTTTCTTCAGTCAACAAGACAGTCAACTTAAAACCTCAGAGTGTTGGCAACTTAGGTGATATCCAACCACTCATCTTCTAGACAAGGGGGTCAAGGCCCAGAGAGAGGATGTGATTTCCTGAGGTCAATCCTAGTGTCAAAGACCGAACTAAAACCCAGGGCTCCTTCAGACTCTTAATCCAGAACTCATCATTCTTGTCCCATAGGATGTGTCTTCTACCCACTGCCTTGAAACAGACTTCCCCTGGGACATGGTGGTTGCCTAGGCTAATACTTTTAGAAATTATTTAACACTCTGGGACAATAACTAAGGGATACAGAGTGTGGGGAAAGGAAGAAGCAGGTCGGAGAGCCATCTGCAGGTGTTAGAATGTCAGATGGTTCCTAAACCACAGCACCCACCACACCTTGTACACAGCAGCAGGGACTGTCCCTCCCTTTGCCCACTCTGTGCCCTAGCTGCCTTTTGGTGACTTCTCCTCATCTTTATTCTTCAAGCCTTCTCTAGTGCTCATTTTGGCCTGTTTCCTGAGGAAGAACATGGTGATGAAGCCGATCTGTGTAACACACTTGGCTGGAAAACCTCTGTTGAGTCAAACTCTAGACCCTCAAAGATGGAAACAGGAAACACAAATGAGAGACTGTCTCTTGTGGACGATCCTCTGAGCCCCCTACTCCTCCTGACCAAGCCGTCCACTCTGCCCTGGGAAGTCGGGACAAGTAACACATGTCTTCTGTTCAATGACTTAGCTGCTCTCCAAATGACCCTAAAACACTTAAGATCCATTTGAAGGAAGAGAATTCTCAGAGAGAAGGCCTTTGTGGGCCCAGCAGTTAACCTGTAAAGGCCTCACTGCCTGCTCCTCTCTTCCGATGCAGAGAGGTTCTTAGGGGTGAGGAGGCCAACATGGCCCTGGACCCCAGGCAGCTTCTGAGGCACTAAGGACCTGGATTCTGACTTTGGGAGACCCAAAGTGAGCCGTTTACCTGGAACTCAGTCCCCTTCTCAGCTAAGACAGGTTTCCTCTGCCTGGACCCTCTCCAGCCCTCACCTAGGATTACCCTACCTAGCCTGATGAGCCTTCAGGACTTGGATTACACATTGGTGTCTCCTAGAAGCCTTCACTAAAACCCATGGGCAGCTTGCAGGAGCCCCTTATAGGCAGCCACAGTGCCCTGTCCTTTTCCAACCTATGTTATTACTTAGTTGCCAGTTACTTCTCTCTCTAGGTAAGTAGCTCTGGGAGAGAAAAAGGGCAAGATCCTTACTTCTTTTTCATGGTTGTATCCTTTAGGTTAACACAGTGCCTGGCACATTGCAGGAGCTCAGTGAATATTTGTTAAATGACCAAGTAAAAAGAATGGGACCATTCACATCATCTGGGTTCTGTAGAGGGGAGCAGAGGGAAGGACTGGGAGACGTGGAGCAATCCTTACTCTTTTTTCTCTTTTGTTGGTTAAAGCTACAGAACATTTCCAACCTGAAAAGCACCTATTTATATTCAGAGCCCTATGCCATCTCACAGAAGGGAATAGATCCATTTGTTTCTTTGTAACAGGTAAGGCATGTGCAGGGTACAAAATTTAAAAGATATTAAAGACCATACAGTGAATGTAAGTCTCCCCAGACTTCAGATGACCCCATGGCTCCTTCTCCCATCAACAAATACTGCTACTGTCTCTGGATTAGAAATCTCTTTACAGACAGAAAAACTGAGGCAATAACAAGGTTAAGAGGCACGTGTAGTAAGCGAATGAGAATTTTACAAGCCAGTGTCTCAGGCAGAAAACGCACCCGGGGGTTCCCACGCCGCCGGCACAGGCTGAACCCCAAGCCCCGTGAGGCAACACCCCAGGTCGCGGGCCGGGGCAAGTGCGCGGGACGCCCGCCGCCGCGGAAGGGTTAACTCCCCGCGCCCCGCCCACCCCCGCCTCTTCCGGGCACAGTGGGCGGGGTTTACGTCACTTCCTGGAGACTGGCTGAATCCGGAAGTGATCCCTGAGGACCCTGTAGCGGCCGAGGACCCCGGCAGCAGGGCCAGGTTCAGGACCATGAGCTGGTGAGTGAGGCCGGGACAGCACAGCCGCTGGAGCCCCAGGCCCGCCGTGCGCCTTGCCCGCGCCCACCTGAGTCCCTTCGCCCCCGCTGCCTGCCTTGCCCACACGGACCCTCCACCCAGGGTCGTTCGAGGGCCCTTCCTCTGGTGCTTTCCCGGAGGCTCCGTCTGTCGGCAGGACTCACCGGGATATGGGGCGGGGGATCTCCTTGGCCTGGAATCCTGCGTCTGTTTCCTGACTCTTTCTCTTCCAAGCTCGTCCCGTCTTCTCCCAGCTGCTTGAAGTGAGGAACTTTCCCGTCTCCTCCTCTTGTAAATATCCGCTGAGGTGGAGTAAATGCCTTCTTTCTCCCTGTGGGCATCTTTTCACCGCTCCCGCGGCCCCAGAGCTGTAGCCCTCACTGGCAGTCTGGGCCCAGTTCACTGATCAAACAGCCACTCGCTTTCAGATGACTAGCCTTTGCACCACTTAACAGTCTTCAAAGGACAAAACTTGCTTCTCTTTTGGAAAGGTCCAGAATTGAACACCCACACCCACACTCCCAGTGTGGGATTGGACTAGTTTTAATCATTTCCAGGGCCATTACCCACTCACTGCTTTCTCTTGAAAATAGCGGTTGGTAAGCTTAAACATTATGGGGACTAGCAGGCCATGAGAAAAGATGCTAGGAGTCTCAGAGATGTAGAGTCACGACTCCAGAGTTGGAAGGTACGTTGCTATATGTGCTAGGTTCATGGTGGATACTTCATAATATTTAATGGTTGATTTAGTTTGTAAGACTCAGTTTGCCCAAAGGGCCTTACCTTCAGGCCCAAGGACCTGCATATCCATAATGCGAAACCTCAGAGGATCCAGCCGTAGTTTGCTTGTCTGAATACATTGACCCCCCCCCCCCCCCCCCCCGGGGATGTACAAGATGAATCAAACCTTTTGGAATCCAAGGTCCATTAGCATCGGGAACATGTTTGCCACTCTGTCCTCATAGTCTAGCTGTTTCTTTACACAAAGTAAATGTGTGATAACTAGTCATGAATGAATGAAGATAGTAGAGTATCCTTCAGGAAGGCTCTTAACGGGCTCACATTTGACCATTAGTGGAGACCAAGCTCTGGCGACAAGCAGCTAATGTCAGTCAGTGTTCAGGACAATTCTGTAATACAAAATTTAAACCATTTCTGTCCCCTCCTCCCTCCTGTTTCTTAGACAAAGATTGATGGACAAATGTTAGACAGTTGGTGCCTGCGCACGAGGGCAGCCTGGAGCAGTGCCCTAATAAGCCCCGGTAGGAACTGCTCCCTTTCCCTCCACCTTAGCTCCAGGAGGCCAATACGGGGCTAGAGCCTTGAAAGTTAGCTAACTTTCCCATCTTGTTATAACCTAGTTAACGATGGGCAAAGTGGCAATCCTTCAGTTCCCTTTCCTAGAGGAATTACTTCCTTAAAATGTCAGCCTGGGTCTCCCAGCCTCGTGATACAGATGTCCTCTTGCCTGCTGCACCTTGAATCGTTGGAGTTCTCTTGCTTAATTTTTCAAGGTAAGAAAGCAGGAAGTTCAGATGCTTTATATTGCTTACATTGGCATTTACAAATTTAAAAATAAATTGACCTTTTCTTCACAAATCGGGAGGAGAACAGAGCCCAGACCAGAGTAGAATATTCTCTTGGTGATCTGAGGCGTGTTGTTCCCACCCATCTTGAAGAAGCTTTTTTCTGAAAAAGTAGTAGCCTATTTCCTGAGGTCTGTCAGGCTGCAGAGAATTGAAATTGACAACTAACTGTTCAGCAAAAGCTGCGATTTTTATCCTGTAGAATTAACTTATTAGTACATGTGCAGCTTGGCACCTCTTTGGACTGAGGGTCAGAACCAAAAGGGCGGCTTTGTCCCTCAAAGCTGAGATTCCTTTTTCTTCTTCTTTAGAGGGCGACTACGTCATCTCTTACGTGGACCCTGACCCTATCTCCCTGAGAGGGGAACAGCACCGGCGCCTGGGCACACAATCACACTCAGTTCCTGGCTCAATGGCTGGCAAAGGGACCAGGGCTGGGTCCTTCTGATTCACTCCTGGAGTGGTTTTCCTGCTCCCAGAATGAATCCATCCATTCATCCAAGACTGGAATTCTCAGTGGGGGAAGAGACCAGAGTGACGTAGAGCCATCATGGGAGGCTGATGCCCAAGGTCGAGTTCACCAAGCACATGGGGTATGCCAAGCCATCATTGAATAAGGCCTAGGGGCACTCAGCCCCTGGTCCCCAGAGGGTAACCATTGTTCTGGGCTAGGCCAGGCTTTCAAAATGTCACAGTGAGAAATGTCCAATATTGATGCCCTTTGCACACTGGATTTTGCATGAAGAGTAAGAGGTCTTTGTTCCTCGCTTCCTCTGTGCATGCAGCCCGCCCACCCCGTTTGTTTTGTGGGTACCTGCTGCCTTCCTGTTCATCTACCCATGCATTCACCCACTGACCACCCACGTGTCTTTAAGCCAGGCTGTCCAGTGGTGTGCCCTGCGAAGAAGGAGGCATTTTATGTTCATATGTCAGATCACTGATTCACCATTTGGGCTTAAGTCAGGTGCTTCCCTCTCCTCTCCTTCTGCTGGTCTCCTCTCTCTTCTTATGTGTATGTGTCTTTATTATTGTATGGAGGGAGAATTCAACAGAATTAAGAAGAATCTGGCTTATTTACCTGGCTTCGCTGTCTTCAGGGGTTATAGCCTTCCCTGGAACCACATGCCTTGATGCTCTTTGGGTTCAATGTCAAGGGAAAAAGTAGTCCTGGAGGAAATCTTCCTATACTAGGGATCCAGAGGTTTGACTCAGAATGAAGGAAATTAGAGTCAGTGCAGATAAATGTGGCTGGGAGGTAGAGGGCTGAGTTCAGGTTCTGGTTCCCTCCTTCACAGTGTGGCCTGGTCAGGCATTTAACCTTCCTCGGTCTTGTTTTCTCCACCTCTGACATGGAATGGATAATCCAAGCTGACGCTGCCACCCAAGCCTGTTGTGAAAAAAATGGAGACTATGCAAATATGATTGTTTTCTGACTCTTCTGGGCTCTTCTACCTCTGTCTGTCCCTTAAATATTGGTATTCCTTGGGACCTGTCCCCCCCCCCCCCCCCCCCCAATGTTCTCACTGTATATGCCCTCCCCATCATCTTCAGGATAAAGGCCTGACTCTGGGCCGTAACTTATAAGGCCTTTCTGGATCTGGCTGTCCACATTACTCCTGTGTCTCAGCTTTCCCTGGCCTCTCGTGCCTCTGCCCCTCTATATGCATTGTTCCTCTGCTGCAATGCCCTTTGCTCCCACCCCTCGCCGCCTCATCCACCAGGCCAAGGTGCACTCATTCTTCCAGAATAAGGGCAGGCTTTGCCTCTTCTGAGGGTCTCCCCTGAACAGGCCCCCACACCCCACTAAACTGAGCCGGGTCTCCTTGCTCTGACCCTCATTAGCATCTGGACTTGAATCGTTGGTTTACTTGTCAGTGACCCCCTAGTCTGCAAGTTACTGAGAAAGGGACTGTGGCTTGGTCATCACTATATCCCTAGTAGTATTCCCAGCAATCAGTGCATGTTTACTGAATGTATGAATGAGCACTTTTTTTTTTCATTTCCTGGCTTGCCTCAGCTCAGGAAAAGTTTTCAGATAAAAATGTGCAGAACCTATAAGCCACTTCCTCAAATGAAGAGCCTCTAAGCGTGCTGTTGTTAAATCAAAGAGGGAAGAAGTGGCCTCAGTGCCTCCCTGAGGCTGTCTCTGATTGTTCTCTCCCCTCTCCTCTCCACCCCCTCCCCAAACTATCCTCTTCCGAACTTGCATAGAACTTCTGTAGCACTTCCACATCCTTCCAGGGACCAAAAACGTGTTCCTCTCCCACACAGACTCCGTGGCGGCAGAATCTACAAGTTCTTCATGTTTGTGTATGCTCACTGTTTGCACATAGTAAGTACCTAGTCAGTAATTGTTAAATGAAATTAATGGACTATAAAGGAAAGAAGGTAAACTGCTGGGTTAGTCTGAACCATCCATTCTGTTTCAAACATGTTCTCAGTGGAATCTCTTTTCCCTCTAGTATTACTCTTGCTATCATGCATTCGTATAGTGCTTTTACCTTTTCAAGTTACCTTCCCATCCGTTATCTGATTTCGTCCTCACATCTACCCTTGGCAGTATGCAGTTCGGGTCTTATTATCTCCCTTTGACAAGTTATTAGAATTCACTCACGGAGTACCTGGGAGAGCTAGAACTAAAATCTGAGTATTCTCTGTGCTTGAAAAGTGGAAGACCATTCCCAAGCTGATTGGGTCCCAAAGGACGCTATTTTACTTTGCTGGTCTGTATGAACACTACCAGGTTGGTAGTGAATTACAGGAAGTTGTCAGTTTTCACATGTAAAGTGAAGAGGAAGTCCTGTGTCCTGCAGACCTCCAGGTGTTCTGGACCATGTCAGCTTTGTGGTACTCTGAGGCCTCCCCGCCTTGGGTGGCCCTCCCACTCACTTCGGACAGGCCAGACTCCCCCCAAGCTTTTTCTTCTATACCGAGCATGGTCATGCCCAGAAGGCAGGGACCCCCTTGAAGAGTCTGTGAGACCCTGTATTTGACGTTGCTTTGGGCACAAATGTAAAACATCTCACTCTTGTTCCAGCTGTTTGTAATGAGAGGGGAAGGGGCTCTTTCCAGATTTGGGAGTAGTTGGAAAGAGGCAAGTATCTTGAATCCCACAGCTTCTTCATCAAAGATGTTTTCTTCTGTGTTACACTCTTGATGTACGTGTGTTGAAGTGGCTTTGGAGTTGGCAGTTAAGCTGTTGCTTCCCCGAACCCACTATTTTGGTAGCTAGCCCATTAAACAGGACCCAGGATAACATGTTGCACACAGATAATGCTCAATAAAATTTTTGTTGATTTAATGCTCATTGAACATTTATAATGTACTAGGGCCTGTGCTGATACTTAATACTGGTGGACAGTCAGAAGGCTGTAAGAATCGATACTTATCTTCAGC